CCCCCGGCCCCCCCCCCGCCCGGGCCCACCTTCTGCAGGTCGGCGATGGCCTGCTTCAGCGTCTTGGCGAGGTCGTACCGCTCCTGCCGCACGGCGGCGTGCTTGCGCTCGTCCAGCCTGCGTATGATCCGCGCCACCTCGGGGTCCTGGTACATGTCGAAGGCCAGGTCGTCCAGCGGGGAGATGTAGTCGGACTTCCTGGGGGAGAAGCCCGTGCTGGCACCTGCTCTGGCTGGGGGCGGCCAGGTCCAGCCAGGCCAGGCGTCCCGCCCGAGCAGACCCAGGCCAGCAGATGCCCAGTCCCAGGCGGCCGGCCCCGGCAGCAGGGCTGTCCGACTGTGGCGCTGTGCCGGACACTGGCCCCCGCACCCCGGGGCCCGGCTCCGTCACTGCCAGTAAGCAAACGCCACTGCAGGCCAGGCCGCCCGGCCCAGGGCCGCGCCCACGCTCAGTGCCCCGCGGCAGCAGGGCAGCCAGGCGCAGGCCCTGCAGGGGCCCAGTGCCTCCTCCAGATGATGTGGCGAGCGGCCAGCTTCGTCCTGAGGTCTGTGCATCGGGGGCGCTCCAGTCCCGAGTTGCTGAACGTGCACAGCCGATACCTTGAAGCGTACGGCCCAGCCGGTGGCCTCGCAGCCCCGGGGCCAGGCCGAGCAGGGGCAGTGCCCGAGCGGCGGCGGGGCCCACGGGCCCTTGCCTGGCTGTCTGTTCACTCGAGTCTGGGGGCCTGAGTGTCCGGGTCAGCTTGCTACAAATCCCAAGGGGCGTGGGGCCTGCGCCCTGGCGGGGTGCCCCCTGGTGGCCACCAGTGGTACAGCGCCGGGGCAGCTGCCAAGGGCCTGAGCCTGGGCCGCCAGCAGGGACCTAACCGGGCTCCAGGAGGCTGCAGGGGCGGGTGGGGGGTGAGGGGGTCGGCGCCGCTGAGCGCGTGGGGCCTTACGTAGAGCACGTCCCCTCCAGCGCCGGGTCGTCTGCGCCGTGCCCCAGGTAGCGATCGATCAGCTTCTCCCTGGAGGTCTGGGGGAAGACACGCTGTTCAGCGCCTCAGAGGAAGAGGCGACCGGGGTCTGAGTGGCCGTGCGCGGGAGGGACGCTGGCTCTCCCCGGGGAGCGCGCCCTTCAGGTAAGGCAGGCCACGCAGGGGAGCCCGACGCTAGGGGTGGCATCTCCCTCCGGCTTACGACGTGGCCTTCGTCTCCGAGATCCGCAGGGTCCCCGATGATGTTGATGGCGACCAGGGCAACCTAGGGAGAGCGCCCGCAGGTGAGGGGCCTGCCCTGTCCAGCTGCCGGCCGGACGGCTGTGGCTGTGCAGGGTCGTGCGTCACGCACACCAGCGCTCCTGCAGAACCGAGACGCCGTCTCGGCGTTCAGAGGCGCTAGAGCGGCAGGAGCCAGAACCCTCCTGCTGGACCACACCAGGTGCTGACCAGCGCTCCAGGTGGTATGGGCACGGCCCGTGGTCCTGGCAGGTCCGGCGCAAAGGCCAAGACCCGAGTGGACGAAGCTCGTCTCCACTGCGGCCTCGGCCGCCCGCAGGGCCCTGCAGCTCCCCGGGGAGCGGGCGGCACGGG